TCTTTTGAGTCATAGAACCTATACACAAAGCGACTGTTTTGAAAGGGTTAATACATAATCCGTGCATATCACTATATTCATATCCTCCTGAGACCCAGACATGTTTTTCATAAGTTAGAGTTGTGACGTTTTTAAATATAACAGAAAATACATTAATAAACATTCTTTACTGAGGACATTTTTTATTTTTTTTCTTATTTTGAAAGATACATGACGTCCATTAAAATGGACATTGGGTCTTAACCTATACAAAAATGCCTAATGTATAAGTTATTTAGATGGTTAAAAATACATTTAAAATTAAAACTTAAACTTATAAGAACATAGAAAATAAACGTAAACTTAAATTTATCTGTTATGGAACTCTATAAAGCAGTTTCTGTAGCCAGTTATGCATAAGAATGTGTTACATCTATTACAAAAAAACTTCGTTTTTTTAGTACAACTGTCATTTTTACATCGAACCGAATTTCTTAAATCTGAGGCAATTTCTGGGTAATGTTCTTTCCGCTTTCTTTCGGTGCCTGCTGATGGTGAATCAAAAATGATATTACCCTCAGGATTTCTTCGAGTTCCTATACCTCGTATATTTTCTTGGAAAATGTTGGATTCATTTTTCAAAAGGTACGTGGCAATTTCGATTTTAAAATCTAGATACTGCTGTATTTTTCGTGTAGAGGTTTGAAATATCTTTTTATCTCTTCGATAAAAAATCCATGAGTTTGCCAATGCTAAATCAAAGAAATGGAAAATGACTCTCACAGTCCATTTTTTTGATCTGGCTTGAATTCTGTAATAGCTGATCATTCGGTCTATCAGGTCAATTCCTCCCATACAATCGTTGTATTTAGCAACAATGTAAGGTCTTGCAACTTGTATGTATTTAGAGTCTTTCTTAGACCACCGTTTACACTCATCACTAGGTTGAATTCCTAGACGAGTAGATGCCAAAAGTACAGATTTCAGGTCATACCACTGTACAACCACTATTTCGCCATCTTGCCTTACAATTTGTTCCGAGCTACCTCTACCTATCTTGGCCATCATTTTGTCTGAAGTTAAATGTGCTGCCGCTGGTACACGAGATTTCATAATCGTTCCAGTACAATATTTCTTTTGTTGGCGAAGATATTCAAGAAGTGGTATTGTCGTAAAATATCTATCGCAATACACATGAGTTCCAGGAAATAATGTTCTTCCAAGCCGAACAACAGCAGAAGGTCCAACACCAAGTCGTTTTACAGAATCATCTGGAAACGTATTTTTTCCTTGATATAGTTCAAAGTCTACGACAAGACCATCAGGAGCAGCAACAACAAAATTTTTCAATCCCTCTGGATTGGGTTTTCCTCTAACAAACTGCTTCATTTGTCAAGTTCCAGTGAATGGTATCATCTGCTCATCCACAGCAACTACTTTCTCTCTGGGTAGCTGCAAGCACCCCTGCAATACTGCTTCTAAAATAGGACGCACTTTCCAAAATTTGTCATACCTGCGTTTCTCCTCAGAGATGCTGCCATCAATTACGACTTTGAGGTTACTTCTTATAGAAAAAAACCTATCTCGAGTCATAACATCCGCAATAGCTGCAACCCTGGTGGGTTTGGCCCAGTACATTCTGATTCTAGGATATTTTAGGCAGGACATTAAACAAATTATCCCAAAGAAATGTTTAATCTCATTAAGTGTCAATCTAAGGGATACTCCTTTAAGTTCAACATACCTTGCATTTGTGCAATCACATACTTTTTGGAACATGTCATCTTCTAAGTACATGGCAAAATACGATTTTGCAGTCCAACCATCGCGAAGCTGTGCGCTGCATTCACTAGACGGACCTTCAAAATTTGGAGGTGTAAAAGTATCATTCCTTCTCCAAAACTGTCGCTGCGAAGAATTGGGAGTTTGTTTGGCCGTTCTTAACTTTTCTCTAAGGACACTAAGAGGAATTCTGTCCTCTCCTTCCTCGTCACTGCTGCTCACCAGGTCTTCATCATTTATTTCGTTCTCTCTCTGTACTAAATTATCCATATTTTCAATTTCATTTTCATCATCAGACATTCCAACGTCAGAATCATCGTTTGCAATGAGTTGTAGTATTTGCTCCAATTTTTCGTCATCTTCCCCTGGCCGAAGCACTCGTTTATTGCCAAAAATTGCTAAAATAAATTTTCCGAATAAATCAAAAATATTCATGAGATAGACCCAATGTCCATTTAAATGGACGCAAATAATTTAGGCTAGTACAAAAGTTATTTAAAATTTTTATTATTATAAAGCTGTTTAAATGTATCTATTAAACATTAACGAATATATATTTCCTCCTAAATCAGCACATAATGTTAAAAAATAGGTTACATACCATCTAAACGAGAATCACGTGCAGCCGCCATCACAACAGAAAACAAACTTACTGATTCACGGCGCAGGTGCGAGACTAAAGTCGGCCGAATCGGACTAGGCGGCAGCACGGTAGTGTCCAACGTAGTGGATGCGAGGTCTACGCTGCGTAAATATTAAATTAACGAAACTGGAAGTATAAAACTGCATGTCCATTTAAATGGACGCTGGGTCCCAGGATGTTATACACTGCTAATATCAGACTGAACATTAGCCATACTTAACTCTGAATTATTGGAGTTCAATGATGTGTAGATCCCTATATCGTCCGTATACAGATAAACTGGACACGATGACAGTCTTCGCATAAATCGAAAATAAACAATGAAAATATAATCGGGCAAGCAAATTGCATCGCAAAATATGCTGCTTTAAGATCGTTTGCCGTTGACACCCCACTGTGATAAATCCTTCCACATAGTTTCAGAGTTATTCTTATGAAGGTTAAATACCTCATATTGGCATTTATCTTGTTTCTTATAGCATCATTTATCCTCATTACTCAATTTATTGTAATGTTGGTTATCACCTGCTGTTTTAGTCTCTAGGTATTTGTTATATGCGCTTTTCTTTGCTGCAATCATGAGTCTGGTGCGTGCCTCTGTATATGCATAAATAGCCCACCATGTATATATTTCACAATATTGCATATAATTGATTTATGTTACAGTTTAAGTTTAAAGAAAAGAAGCACAAAAACGTAAAAACCCTGCTTCTTCAAATTGTGATCTGAACATGAATTTGCTTTATGATCTTTATTATTGGTATATAAAGGGTGGTCCATTTAAAATTTTTTTTTTAAAAATGCTATAAAAAAAACTACTAAATATTTTTCCAAATTTTTTTTTTATTTGAAAGTACAATCCTTCCGATTAAGTATGGAATACAACTTCATTTAAATGACTGCCGCGGCTGGCTTTGCAGTAGCCCATACGGTCAGTCCAATTTTTGACCACATTTTCAATCGTATGTGGCTGTATTTCAGCAACGGCAGCGCGTATGTTCTCTTTTATTTCGCCAATTGTTGCTGGTTTGTTGGCATAACATTGCTCTTTAATGGCACCCCATAAATAATAATCTAATGGGGTCAAATCACAGCTCCGAGGCGGCCAAACAACATCAGAATTTCGGCTGATAATGCGATCACCGAAAACACTTCGCAGAAGAGCAATCGTAGCGTTTGCTGTGTGACACGGAACACCGTCTTGTTGAAACCAGATGTTACCGACATCAATATCTTGAACTTGTGGAAAGAAAAATTCATTTATTATGGTACGGTAACGCTCACCATTCACAGTAACTGCTGCTCCGGCTTCATTTTCAAAGAAAAATGGGCCAATGATGCCACCAGCCCAAAATCCGCACCAAACAGTCACTCGTTCTGGATGCATTGGCTTTTCTTCGATTGCGTGTGGGTTCTCTGAACCCCAAATGCGGCAGTTTTGCTTATTAACATAGCCGCCAAGATAAAAATGCGCTTCATCTGAAAAGATGATTTTTCGACCAAAATCAACATCTTCATCAAGTTGATTGCAGGCCCATGAAGCGAAGCGAAAACGCATTGGATGGTCAGTTGGCTTCAATTGCTGAACCAATTGAACTTTGTACGCCTTCATACCAAGGTCTTTATGCAAAATTCGACCTAATGATGTGCGTGAAATGTTCAATTGTTGAGAACATTGGCGCGTTGATGTGCTTGGAGACTCTGCCACACTCTCAGCTACAGCATCGATATTCTCGGGTGTACGCACCGTTTTCGGTCTTTCACGTGTTGGTTTGTCAATAAGAAGACCAGTTTCACGAACTTTTTGCACAAAATACCTCACATACGGTGCTGACGGTGCTTCATTTCTTCCCATTTTTGCACGTAATTTTCGGACACAATCTGCAACATTACCACCACTTTCGAAATATTGTTTTAATATTTCCCAGCGTTGTTCAAGCGAATACACAACCATTTTCGTTAATCGGAATGATATGACTGATGTTCTGTCAAATCAGATGCGAAATAAGTCTTGACATATCCCAAAAAACCAGTAACTCAAAAAAAAACGATAGATGGACCACCCTTTATTATTAACAAGTATTCAAATTAGTATTTTTGGCATATTTATATCTCTGTGATACTTCATACTCGTACTCATTCCATCACTTAGTTTTCAAATAGAAAAAAAAAATATGTTAAATTATATTTTTTATACTGGGTATGAGACAACGCCAATCAGAATGTGCCTTACTCGTATTTATTTTTGAAACGATGTGTTTAATATTTTATAGAAAATGTGTAATAGTTTGTACAGATTTCATAGGCCAAAGATTTATTTAATGTAACACCTGAAACTTATCCTGTGGTTGTCTCGCTGATAAATCGCCATATTTTGCTGGCCGCCAAATGGAAGCACATATGTTGGAATGAATGTTTTCTGTCGTTTCGACCATCTTAGTGTGGTTTCATTTGGCGGGCTGCAAAACAGCGGTATTTAGATTTAAGTTGTGCCATTCGTCGTGTTATTCTTTTTGGCATTCGTTACTTGTAACTTGAAAGAAAATAATGTCTTGGACCTGTGGATAACCACTACCACAAGTTTAATTTTCCAAATCGGTCATTTGGCATGTTACTTCCATTTTTTTTAAATCACAAAATAAAAAACAATATTCTCAAACGTGTTTGCATTTTACTGAAGACACACTTGAGGGAGCACACATCTACAATGATCCCTGCAGTGGTATTAGCGGTGGTAAGATGAAGCCTGGCAACTTTTTGCCGACTCCGTATGTACCAACGCCATACTCCACATGTTGATTTACCAGTTATGTCTAACCTTTATGATCTCCTGATGAATGCCAGGATGTCAAACTACCGCGCTGAATCTCTCCAGTCTCCACTATCAACCCCCATTACTAAAACCCTTAGGCAGCGATATGTGGCGAAAAAGCCTAGAAAGTGGAATGCTGTCTCGCCATATTCCCTGCAAATGAAGCAGATGGGAGCACTGTAAATTATTGGTTGTCCATAGCGGATTTTGTGAAAGTTTTTATATTGTGTTCTAAAAATGAGTGACATCAATTTCATGCAACCGTGTGCTATCAGGTTTTGCTTCAGACTTGGACACAGTGCCACGGAAACTCTTGCTGAACAGGCGTACGGAGATAGTGTTTTGTCAAAAGATCAGGTTTTACGGTGGCTTAAGGCATTTTCAGAAGAGAGAGAGAGGGAGAGAGTCGATTGAAGGTGAATCACGAAGTTGAAGGCCTTCATTTTCAAGAACCGATGAAAATATCTTGTGCTTTCAGATCATCGGTTGACAGAATGATTGGGGAAAGTTAAATTTGACATCAAGATCATATGGACGTTGCATCATGATAATGCTCCTTGTCACACAGCAATGTCGATAAACGAGAGTTTTTGGCCAGTAAAAATATTCCTGAGGCGCCTCAGCTTCCATAATCGTCTGATTTGGGTCGTGACTTTTTCCTCTTACCGAATTTGAAAAATCAACCCAATAGACCTCATTTTGGGGAAGTGGAAAACATTTAAATGTCTGAAACCGACCAGCAGATGGAATACCCCAGCATTGGAGTTCCAGCACTGCTATGAGGAGTAGAAGAACACTCTCCAACGCTGTGTGGATTCAGAAGGAAGTTATTTTGAGGGTGATAATATAAAATTGCAATCATATTTGATTAAAAAAATCAGACTCATGACTTAATTTACAGACGTCGTAGGATCTGTTTTCACCATTAGAGCGTATAAAAAAAGTTGAGCGATTGTGTGCCTTTGTCCAGTAGCCAGAGCGTCCAATGTTTGTATGGTCTCACTATGAACTTCTGCAGAATTAAAACAAGAAAAAATGCTCATTCCACATATTCATTCTATTTACATAAATAAAGATAAATTTAGAATTTTTTATCAACATTAGTTTTCTTTTGAGATTAGGAAGTTCTGCTTTACATCACACGAAGCATTTTGCAACCGAATTTTCAATTCATAGGCGGTAACCATCAAACTTATAAAGTGAATCATATCATTTGAGGCAAGTTTTGCTAAAAAGTATTCGTGTGCACAGTATTATTATAAGAAAAAAGGCCAGTATGGTGACCATGAGCTCCAGGATTCTGAATTTTTAGCTGACGATAAGTGTAAGAATATTTGTAAATCCTTTTGAGAATTTTCAGGAGAACAAATTGTTTCATGATGGTATGCCATTAAACACATTTTTTTGGTTAGTAATAGTTTAAAAGTATCTTTTACGGTAGCTGATAAAAATTCAATACCTTGGTCTGATATAATACACCTTGGTACTCCATAATGTAGAACAGTAGTTGATAAATATATTTGCTACACTTGTTGACCCTTGTGTCTTAGGCGAATGTCACATAATCACTATTTATTGTGATCAGTTAGTATTTATCATGGGATGTGATATTAATTGTCCATCTCTACTGGATGATAGTAATCATTCATGTAAGGTTTCATTGAGTAAATACTGATGGTACATACCACAGTAAATACTGATTGTGTGACACTCGCCTTAACAGGCTACACTCAACGAACTTCAAAAGCTCACACTGACGAGTGAAAAATATATGTGTTAACTTCACTGTCTACAACTGCAGCAACTAAATCTGTGTAAATCTTTTGAAATTAAGTAAATGTCTGGTTGCAATGGACAATGGATGTATATTAGGCCTAGAATGTTTAATAACGACGACATTCTTTGCAATGCTCCATAAAATCTTCTACATATTAGATCAAAAGTATTTCTTGATAATACCAAACATTCTGTTTACGCCGGCGTGAACGCCTGTTGGCAAAATACGCAAATCGTTAAGAATAATCTATTGAGATTCTAGATCAGTAATGTGTCGGAAGTCTTTAATTATGCTTATTCTTCTTATTCTTACACATGTGTTCTTTCAAATTTTTTTATGCCGAAACAGCCATGCACGACTGCTAAATAAAGGGGCCTAGAGACACCTCGTTAATCCGATTTTTGAACAGTCCAATGTTAGTAGCACTGGGAAAAGCCTACTAAGGCAGATTGTCCCACAATCTCGACACCCCAGGAACAAAGGAGCGGTCGTACTAGCCAGTTCTGGATGTGCCAAGTTCGACACGCTTTTAGGATGGGAGGCCGAAGTCTGGCGAGTTTGTCTGACAGGCTTATCGCGCGACGGCATCATCCGAGGATGAAAACTCGTTAACATAGCGGTAGAAGAGAGCTAGATCGCCGACGGCTCGTCGTTGTGAAAGGGCCCCAGACTGTCCATTAGAGAAGTCATCGATCAGCTCTCTTCTGAGCAGCATCGAGCATGGTTAATGTAGTCGGGGGGCAGCACTCCAAATATGAGAGCATTACTCGACTCTAGATGTAAAATGTATCTGAAGGGAATCAGCGCTAGGGCGCTTCTTCTTAGTCTTTTTTCCAGCTGACCAGCAGAGGTCGGCTTGACACTGAATTCCTGCATGTAGAGTGTTGCCATCAGCAAAGCTGTGGATGAGATGGATCATACAGAAGAAGGTCGGTGACATGTAATAGAAACAACGCTGAATCCAAGACATATTCCTGGGAATACCCGCGTTGACATTGTGGGATGAAGACGAAAACCCTTCAATTAGGGCGGATATCTTGTGGTCTGAAAGTCAGCCACCCATCTTCATAGCTTCTCTGAGAGGCTATAGGATGAAAGTTTGCATGAAGGGTAGCATATCACAGCTGATGAAAAGCTTCCATGACATCAAGAGCAATGACATGAGCATCACCATATGACTGGATCAATTGCAAGACGAACGCTAGAAGGTTGATTGCTGGTGACACAAAACATACTGCTCACAATCTCCCGATTTATGCACCTCTCCATCACCTCACTTATAACAAAAAAAAAAAGAAGCTATATATTCCTGTAGTTGTAAGGGTTGATGTTAGATCCTTTTTTTGAGACTGGCTAGTCATAAGCAGTTCCAGTTTTCTGGGAAAGTACCAGATCCGTTAGATATCTAGAAGAGACGCCAAGGAACTAGAGAAAGCTCCGCCGCACATCTCTTCAGTACCACAGCAGGAATCAAATCCGAGCTAGAAGCTTTGTTGATGTCGAGCGACAAGAGCACCTGTCTTACCCTGAAGGTTACTTCCCTCATAGCATATCCGCCATACTAGTCTAAGCTCTGACGACACTCGACCCTACGTCACCGCGAATTTGAATAAAAATAGTATAAAAGTATTTAAAAATTGTAAAGTTGACGTAATTGTGATATAATTTTGACCGACATTTCAACCAAACTTACACCTTAATGCTAACAGAAAGAATAACTATTTAGTCTGCATTCTAAGGGTCGGTTCTTAGATCCTTATTTTTGGACGGGCTGGACATGAGCAAATGTCTTTGTCAGATATGGTAGAGTACCGGCTTTGTAAGATAGTCGAAAGAGACGCGAAAGAATTTGAGTAAGCTCCTCTGCACATGTTTTTAGAGCAATAGTAGGAATCAGGTCAGGACGAGAAGCTCTGATGATGTCGAGCGATAAAAACGTCCATCATGCCTGAATTTTTACTTCTCGCATAGTGTAGGGAACCCTCCGACTCGAATGCAATCGGGCCTTGGGGCACGTCCATGGTGGAGTTCGCAAGCACATCCATTTTGGCCTTAGTTACGATTTTATCTTGGTATTTAAGTGGTGGAAAGCTACTCTTTAAAGTCCCCTTCAATGGCTTGGTCAGTGTCCAGAAAGATTGACTGCTATTGCGCTATGATGTTACCCTGTGCCTAATTTTTGCATCATGCTGGTATTTGGCATTGCAAAACACTTTATTGTATTAGTTTCTGGATTCGACGTCTGCTTGTCTGTTCTCTATGGTGACCTTTGATAAGAAGGTTATTTGTGCCATGATCATCTGTCTGTCACTAGCAGTGTCGCAAGACTTGTTGAACCAGTCATTTGACCCAGGTCTATATTTGTCCTGACAGTGCAAGTGGCTCTGTATAGTATTCAAATGGCGGATTTTAATAGAAAATCTATACTTTGAAATTCCTAGTCTACAGGGTATAGTTTAAAAGATGTCTCTAGATTTGTCTTGATAGTGCAACTGATAATAGATATAATTGAATTTTTTATATTCAAATGTTATACTTTGATTGCAAACTCAAAATTTTCATTTTGCAGAAATCTGTACTGCAGACCAAATGGCTTGATGGATTTTTACATTTGAGATATCATTGGTTTTGATAGCACAATTGAATCATTCTTGCAGTTGGATTGTTGGTATTTTTAAAAATGTACTTGGTTTAGATTAGTCCTTTCTTTAAAGATTTTTTTGATTTGGAGAAATCAATGACATTAAAATTGTTGTTGCGAGCAATATTCATCTATGCAAGATTGGTATACCTTGAGCATAGACAAAATGGCATTGCTGCTCAACTGCCCTATATGAACAGGCAATAGAAACACCACACACCTATTGAGACCACTTAATATGCTATAGACAGCTTAGCTTAGAGGCAAAATGGTAGCAGTTATTCACAAAGCATTTAAGGTGGTTTGGATTAGTGTTGATGAATACCAATTTGTGAATACATGAAGAATAATGAAGTTGATTCACGAACTAAAATAATTTATTTGAGTCAATTTATGTGCAATGGTCAACAGTGTGAATTATCAATTATCTTTTGACCTACAAATAATGTTCAAATGGTTTCATACTATTCACTTGTAGCTTCTATACAGCCTGCATCAACTCTGGTAACTTGTTCGCCTTTCTCTGCTAAAATATCTTCAATATTCCTTTTTCCATTCAAATCTGTGAACCAATTCAAATTATCTGCTATCAAATGGTTGTTACTGCATCCTGTGCACTTAACTATAACTACTCCTCTTGTGTATGCCACTTTGGATATATAGTTGTTATTCCTAGTACTGCAGACTTTGCACGTATATCCTAGCTGGAGTTTTCTTTCCAGGATCCCAAGGGCTTGCCTGTTTTCTTCAGTTTTGAAGTAGGGGTTCACTTGGGTAGAACAAGATCGTGCTATTTGCCGCCACTGATATAAGGACGGTTGAAGTTTACGTTGTGTATTTATAGCCCGGGCAGAATACTGCAATACTTTTCTGAAAAACATTTCAATTTTTTCCATAAAACTTAAAAAAAACAAAATAGAAAATACAGCATGAATAACACAAAACATATACACCACAAAACATGAAAACATATATAAGCTGAAGAAGGCACAAAACACAAAAGACTGAAGAAGGGGCAGCTGTACGTTAAACAACGGCAACACCGTTGACGTTTTGTCAGATGGTTGCGCAACCTACTTGCCTGGAGATCTGGAGGAACTATTGAAGGAATTCAAAGAATGCGCCGGGAGATTAGAAATGTGCCGGGAATTTCGTTTGTTCATAATTTGAAATCTGCTGAAAATGATATTTCCGATATTGAAGGTATATTCCATAAAATATCCCCAATAAGGGTAATATCTCTTTCATCAGTTTTGCAGAGAAAAAGGTTCAGAATAATAAAATCCAACCCTAATTATATGAAGCCCCACATTTATTTAGTCATATGTTGTCCACAATGCTATAAAAATTGTATTACATGAAAATATAGATAGATTTATTACAAATTCATGTTGAGTGTTGTTAAACACAAGTGTCTCAATTCATTGTACCGCTTCTTGATAATTCTGAAAAAATACAGAAAGCTAGTCACTTTTAATTAGTTTGCTCAGTTCTATGGCTTTAATTTGTTGGCCTTTCATGTTTTATATAACGGTGCCAACTACATCGATTATAATGAGGCTGAATCCAGACATGCAATTTTAAATAATCTACCGAATACATCATGCTGATATGTTAAGTTCCCAGCCTACCTGTAGCACTTTATGACAAGACAGAGTCTCCTGAACTTCTGCATCTCCCACAATAGTCACAATACATCTCACGATGCTCTCAACCCGTTAGACAAATTTGGTTTTCGTTGTATACAAATATCAGCATTGATTACAAATTAATTGGTGCCAGAAATGTTAAAAATCGCCAGATATCGCCAGCTTGCTGGATATTGGGTGCCATTAAAGTAGCCAATCGCCAAGTTATCCATTTGAAGCCGTCAAATCGCCACTTTGGCGAAAAATCGCCACGCCTAACAACCCTGAATCCCGGCAGGCAGCACTTGAGTATGACTTTGGTGTTGCCAGTTCGCCCATAAGACGTTTCATACCTCTGGAAGAAGGTTTAATTCCATGTTATTCAATGGCAAGCAACAAAACATACACATACACCGCATAATCTCTGTGGCCTGTGACAACACATACTGAGGTAGGGGGGTGAAACTTCTTATGGGCGAACTGGCAACACCAAGGTCATCTCCAGGCAAAATTGAGGAAACTGCATTACCGACATCAGGTGACGGTTGCTTGCCGAGATTCTCTATATTTATCTAAATGTAAAAATATCAAATATGGCGTTTGTTTTGGTTAATATCCAGATCATCAACGTTGATGCCTTCGGAGATATTTCATTAAAAATAAGTATAAAACATAAAGCAACACTACCAGTAGCTGTGATGGTATATGCGAGATGTATTGTGACTATTGTGGGAGATGCAGAACTTCAGGAGACTCTGTGATGTCATAAAGTGCTACAGGTCGGCTGTTAACCTAACATATTGTAGTTGGCACCGTTATATAAAAAACAAATGTTTTTGTATTAACTAAGACATGGTAATATCGCCAAAGTACAGTCATAAAGCCCTAAGCTTTATAAAGCAAAATTCTGCCCATCTAGGCCAATAAATTAAAGGGATAGAACTGAGCAATCTAATAATTAAAACTGACTAGCTTATTTACAAAGAATTATGAATTGCATTAGTGTTTTCTAAATTGTTTCAGAATTATCAAGAAGCAATTCAATGGAGTGAGACACTTGTGTCTTGCAACACAACAGGAATTTTGAATAAATCTATCTATATTTTCATGTAATACAATTTTTATACCATTGTCAACAGCATATGATTATTTTTTTGAAACTAAATATATTTTGTGCTTCATAGTGTCGAATATTATTCTGAACCTTGTTCTGAACGAAACTGCTGAAAGAGATATTACCCTTATTGGGGATATTTTATGAATATACATGTTCGTGAAATAGTCCTTCAATATAATTTCCAGCAGATTTCAAATTATGAACCAACGGAATCGCCGGTACATTCCGTATTCCTAGCGCATTCTCGGCATTCTTTCGATAGTTCCTTCAGATCTACAGGCAAGTAGGGGGCGCAACCATCTGACAAACGTCAACGGTGTTGCCATTGTTTAACGTGCAGCTCCCACTTCTTCAGTCTTACGCGTTTTGTGCACTGAGGTTACGTTGGCAGTAGGCACAACACATATGTCACAATACAGAATACACACATTAGTGCCAATGCCAATTACGTTAATGTAAAATTACGATTCTGTTTAAGAGATGGAGCTGACGTTAGGTGGATTTTTTACTGTTTGTAGAGATGTTCTGATCCACGAAACGTATCGATACCATGTATCGATTCGTATCGTCTTAGGAAGTATCGATACTCTAAAATATCGGAATACAAATATCAATACGGCAAGTATCGAAACCGCTTGACACGCAACATACACTGCCGAAAATCGAAGTTCTTTTTCTACAACTCTCAAGACAATAATCAAATCCAAGCGAATAACCAAAATTTCTGTTATTTACCGTTTTTGTAATGTGGTTTAAGATGACACACGAGTTGATGACGTCAGTTACTCGAACCGCTTGAACGCGTTGGTTTTAACCGCGGTTTTGTTGGAAGTTGTTTATTTTAGAAAAGTGGGTATATAATTTCTGATTATTTTTATTATTACTTAATTCGTCTAAAGCAGTGATATGGAAAGATTAAAAAAAAGCTTTAATAATATTAATTGGAGAAATGTTGTGTTTTAGAAGATATTGTTCAGCTGTAGAATTACTTGAGAAAATCTCTCTTATTTTTATACAAGTTTGTCGTGAAAATAAATGATATGAGGCCCAAAATTTTAATGGTGGAACCATGGCTTTGTAGTTATGATAATTCAACTTTTCCGCATGCCAAAGAAAACTGTTGATTTAGCAGAAATGATAGGAAAAAGCAATGAAGAAAGATATTAGCAAAACCGAATACAGGGGGACACTATTCAGTGAGTTTATATGGCCATATTTTAATCTTCTTGTGGTGTATGGCTACACAGGATACTTTGTTAAGCATACTAACTAGATTTAAAGTGTACCTAACAACAGTAATGAGTATAACTAATAAGGTGCTCTGCTTTATGCTAAAACTAAAGTCAACCTGTATCAAGTTTCCCAAAAATGAGCTGAAGTATGACAAAAAGATAATACCCGTCAAAATTCTAACTTGTCATATTTCAAATAATGACCAGAAATATAGAACTACTCCGGAGTTGGGTAAATACCACAATTTTATTACGGTGATACGATACCTGTGACATACAACCTGATAACCACACTCGCTTGAACGGATCGGTAAATACCAATTCAAAATGGTAAATACAATTTTCATTTGGTTATCCGGTTACATTTGATTAATGCCCACTTTTTTCAACTGCATGACCAGACTATCAAATAAGTTCACTAATGAAATATATATATGTAAGAAACGGGGTAGATTTGATTTGGCTTTTACCCCAAAAAAATACACGTCTATCCCCAATCAATACTTTATTCCGAGTACCACCATTTACTTCGTATTTAGGCACAATTTGTTTGGCTATAGGTACGTGACTGTCGTCATCTTCGCTACTACCTGCGATCCCTCGCAGGTAGTAGTCGCCCCCGGACCCCTCGTGCTTCTCCTTCCGTCGCAGAAGATAACGATATCATTTCACCCTTTTGAGAGGGAATTATGGGTAGTCACAGCGGCGCCGCTAACATATGTATATATAACTTGAGACGTGGTCATTGTCGTCTCCCTCCCCCCCCCTCAACCCACGGCGTGGATACAGAGGACCAGGAACCACCGGGACCAGGACCCACCGGGACCAGGACCAACCAGGACCTGGACCCGCCACGACCAGGACCCACCAGGACCAGGACCCTTCAGGACCAGGACCAGGAACAACATATTGGTAAGAGGACTTGAAACTCTTGATTTTTCGAAAACAAGAGTTTCAAGAGAAACTAGCAGACCCTCTATCGATGATCGCTTAACGACATCGATAGAATGTGCGAGGTAAAGGGAACCAACCCGGCGTTCCCAGAGACTGAAACACATGAGGAGACGTTGTAGCAGACCGCAGGTCACGCACAACACATGGCCTACCGAGACGCTGATGAGTCGGGCCACGCGGAGGTTTAGGGTTTAGTGGGTATTAGGTCATCTCCTCAAGACCCTGGAGCCCCACACACGTCGTAGCTCGTGCTATGGTATGGTGCGTAAATGCATTCCCCCCTCGTTTAAAAAAAAAAAAAAAAAAAAAATTGTCGTCTAGACCAGTTAGGTGAAAAATTAAAGCTTCCGCCTTTTTGTTGGGTACTTCGACAAAATTTAAGCAAAGAGGACTCTTTATACTTTTTTAATTCTCTCTAGCTTTCAATGGACTTTGCCATCATCATCAGGAGCTGCAATTACAATGATAATAGTAGCAACAATAGTGTAAAATGAATTTAAATTGACTTAACTTACAGTAGTATGTGAGGATGTTGCTAATTGTTGTTTACGTATAGGATGAGGGAAACGTCCAGTAACCTGGTGAGAGCTGGATAGATGGTACAGTGGTCAAAATTATATAAAATATGACAAGAACAAGTTAAAAACAGATTAAAAATTATTTAAAAACATGAAAGCATTACTGATGGTGATGGCAAAGTCCATTGAAAGCTAGAGAGAATTAAAAAAGTATAAAGAGTCCTCTTTGCTTAAATTTTGTCGAAGTACCCAACAAAAGGCGGAAGCTTTAATTTTTCACCTATATATATATATATATATACAGGGTTATCCAAATTAAGTGTCCACCATTGGTAACTTTGTTATTAGTAAAAATACAAAGTTGTTTAAATTAGCAAACTAGTAGCATTTTTAACGCTGGTAAAAATGAGAAATAAAAAAAAACAATTGAGAGTCGTTATTTTGATTTTTTTCAGTAAAATAACATTTTTTTAAATGGAAACCCCTGTATATTATATTTTTTTCTGTTAAAGCATCAAATTTTAAACAAAAAAGTTCATAATGACTTTTCCGCTAAAGTCAAAAATAAAGTCAAAATAACGATAAATATTTTTAATTATTTGCAGTATTATAATATTAAGACGGCTATGAAAACAACATGGCGTTCGCGATTTGACAGCATTAAGATAAGCGACAAATTGTTAAACTGGACATACTCGCAACTAGAAGGCTTTGGAAAACAATGATAAAATCAAATAATGTCAAACATTAGTGTAAATACTTGTTTATAAGCTTTATTGTGTCATTAATTTAAAGAAAAATGTTCTCCCATGAAGAAAAGTGTGATATGTTAGAATGCTATTTAGTGTGCAGAAAATCCTCCTTGAGAGCAAGAGAATTATATCCCGCTCGCATTCAACCGTATGAACGATATTTTCTGAGACTTTATCGAAAATTTAGGGGCAACGAAAATGTTTTTGCTAAAACAAGGGCAAAAAAAGAATTCATAATAAGCGAGGCCACGGAAATTGCAGTTATTGGATATTTTGAAGCTTATCGTGAGAATTCAATAGCAGATATTCTCAAGGACTCTAATTTCAGTTATGGTACTGTTCAAAGGATTTTAAAAAAATACAAATTTATTCCGTATAAGTACCGACCAGTTCAAACGCTTTTGGCAGGGGATCCAGAAAGAAGACTTGTTTTTTGCCATTGGTATCTTAGCTTCTGTCGCCAAAATGTAAATAACTTTCGTTACCTTTTATGGACAGATGAATCAATTTTTTCAAATTCTGGAATGTTTAATAGAAAAAACCACCATTATTGGTCAAGAGAAAATCTTTTGTTAGTACATCCAAGAGGCCCACAAGTCCGTTTCAGTTTCAACGTTTGGTGCGGTATAATTGGTTCAAAAATTGTTGGCCCGTTCTTTTATGAGGGAACCCTAACTGGTGAAAGATATGTGGAATTTATGTCAGAAATTCTGACTAATTTCTTAGACGAATTGGATCTTATAAGTAGACATCATCTGCATTTTCAGCAAGATGGCGCACCTGCCCACAACTCCAGAGGTACTTATCATTTTCTAAGTACTACTTTTAATGATCAGTGGATAGGAACAAATGGCCCAATACAGTGGCCTCCCAGATCACCAGATCTAAACCCACTTGATTACTTCTTGTGGGGTTACTTAAAGAACCAAATTTACAAGCGAAGGTACGATAATCTTGACGCGTTAAAGACTGCAGTTAGGGAAAAGATAACCCAGATAGATGGTAGGACCATACTTAAGACAGTTCGAGCAGTTGAAAAACGTGCCCAAAAATGTATTGAAGAACAAGGTGGTGTTTTCGAGCATCTTCTTTAAAAAAAATTGTTATTGTATTTTGTAAGATTATAAGTTGATGTTGAAAATAAAGTTTGTCGATACAATTTAATTGTTTCAGATTGGAGGCCATAACTTCAACAATTTGTAACCTAGGAGAAAAGTTATTGTAAGCTTTTTTGTTTAAAATTTGATGCTTTAACAGAAAAAAATATAATATACAGGGGTTTCCATTTAAAAAAATGTTATTTTACTGAAAAAAATCAAAATAACGACTCTCAATTGTTTTTTTTATTTCTCATTTTTACCAGCGTTAAAAATGCTACTAGTTTGCTAATTCAAACAACTTTGTATTTTCACTAATAACAAAGTTACTAATGGTGGACACTTAATTTGGATAACCCTGTATATATATACATTGCACAAAAAACGATCGGTCTTTTTATTTCAGATTTAAACAAGGCTACTAAGTTTATCAAGGAACTTAAAGCAAACATTTAACATTTTGCGCAACTGGCGCCATCTAACCACTCCCGGTGTAACTTGAACCTGTCAAAACTTCCGAGGAAGGAAAATTTCCATCTGTTCCTGTTATACGGGATCTCGCGAAAAATTCTTTAATCTCTCTCATTTCTCCTGCTATTTCTTTCCAACATTTGTCAACTACATTTCTGTTACCGTGTTGTTTATTTTGTTTATCCCATATGGGGCATTGTTTGTATACTGATGCGATTAACTTGTCTATATCCATTATCCACATGCTGCTCTGACAACCGGCGAGAAAGAACTAAATTAATCATTCCGGCAAAACCGGTAACGCCGACAAGCCAGAGCCTGCCTCTATTGTGTTATTGCCAACTCAAGTGCATGATATATTATTGTAGAAGCTTATGGGAGTCGATCGGTGCTGGTTGACGGTAAGCAGGAAACCGGCTTTCACTGTGTTTTCGCCCTAAGAATCGCATTGAACATCCTTAGCTGTTTGTGTCTAATAAATAAGTCATAATTATTTTGATGGAGTCCTCGACATTTGTCAAAAACTCTTTTTTTCGTCGACATTCATTATGAGCTGTCGCTGTCTGAGATAACGTTACGGAAGGCTTTATAAATCTTTAATTTTATTGCACTAAAAACTCTGTTCTAATAGAGAGATGTAACTTGCTGATCAGCTGTTCAGTGTTCACATTTATTTAATACCATTTAATACCCACTTTCCCCTGCACCATCTATTATACGAAGTTTCCGACCACGAAAAATATTTGCGAACTATAATTTGACTTAATTTTCTATGTTGGATAATAGATAGCGCTGACGGCAACTAGGATAGATAAGTGTGTATATTATAAAAGCACCTAATTCTACCCGATTCTTGAATATATCTCCAAACAAAAATATGTGGATGTTTTGTGGAAAACAGCTTTGGATCTTTAAACCTCAAGTAATACTGGTTACGGCACCGATTAGGGAAATAATGTAAAAAGATACATATTTGGCAAAAATATATCTGTGGAGATTCCTGTCCCGAATCATTATTCCTGAATAACCACGAAAGTCGAAAGGTGGCAGAGCTTTCTTCTTAGACGATTTCTGTAATATTCTTAGTTGACAGTGTTTACCTTTTTACACTTTATTAATCTTGACGGGAGTGACGTTGAGGTTATGTTTATGGTTTTGACAAATATAATATTTACGTACACAATAAATAATAAATGTACCCAGGGCTACCCACAACCAAAGTGACCTAGACAACACTAAGACGTAAAATGGCTCCAAAATGCTACATGAAGAGACGTGCAACTTTTTCTGCCTGTCACCGCTTACATAGTCCCCATTTGAATGATGAAGAAAATAAAAAAGTGTATGGAAAATGTAACCATATTCATGGTCACGGTCACAATTATGTGGTTTTTGTGACCCTGTTTGGGGAGATTGATCCAAAAACAGGTATGGTGATGAATATGACCGATTTGAAGAGGTACATGGATGAAGCAATCATGAGACCAATGGACCATAAGAACTTGGACAAAGATGTGCCATTCTTCCAAATTAGGCCAAGTACTACTGAAAATGTTGCTGTTTTCATATGGGATTCTTTGAGAAGTGTGATGGACCAACCTCATTTGCTGTTTGAAGTGAAAATATATGAAACTGAAAATAATATTGTTAGATATCGAGGAGATGGGGATGAAGACTACTGAGTTTTAATAGTCTGTACTAATTGTGTGCAGGGTGTTTTCAAAGCATTGGTCAAAAATTTGCTATTTTGTTCTACAGTTGTTTTTGAAATTTTTGTGATTCATGTCTTCAAAGTATACCACTAAAAATTGGTTCTTGTATAACTTTTGAAGTGCACATTTTTTGTAATACAGTCCTCTCATATTGTTGTCATATTACTGCAATTTTTTACACCCTGTAACAAAATGTGTATCAAATTATCAAAAAACTTATAAACTGCAAAAGGGTTCTGCTATTTTGAAACTACAGTGATTTTGATTACATGTTCTGAATTAAAGGAATATGATTTCCAAAAATATCAATTTTGAGCAGTTATTGCACATGGTGTAAGAAATTAGCAATATTGTGTGAACCTTAATAGGTTGCTGCTCTTAAAATTTTTACTGAAATATAAGCTTTATCCAGGTTTTTATGAGGAACTATTCCAGGATGGTTTTGATCTGCCAGTAGTTAATTGTAATGTGGTTTGAAATCACAAGAGTCAGTTTCATCAGGACAAAACAATTCTGGGATTGTTCCTTGTAGAAAGCAAATAAGGTTATACCACAGACATCATACATAAATCAAATCCAAGCGAATAACTATAAATTCTGTGTTATGTACAGCAGTTATAATATGGTTTAAGATGACACACGGGTTGATGATGTCAGTTACTCGAATCGCTTGAATGCGTTGGACTTAACCGCGGTTTTGTCGCAAGTTCCTTATTTTAGAAAAGTGAGTATAATATAAAAGTGAATATGTTTATTATCACTTGTCTACAACAGTGTATGGGAAGTTTAAAAAAGAAACCTTTCATAATATTAATGGGAGAAATGTTTTTTTTTCAAAAAATAATTTTTAATGATGGTACCATGACTTTGTAGCTATGATAAATTTCAAATTCTCTAAGCTTTTATGCATGTCAAAGAAAACATTAATTTATTGATTTAGCAGAAATGATAGTATACAGGTGGACATTATCCAGTGAGTTTATATGACCATATTTAAATATTCTTGTGGTATATGGCTACACAGGATACTTTGTTAAGCATAGGAACTAGGTTTAAAGTGTCCCCAACAACAGTAATGAGTATAACTGATATGGTGTTCTACTTTATGCTACAACGGCAGTCAGCCTGTATCAAGTTTCCCAAAAATGAAGCTCTAGTACAACAGAAATATCCAATATCTGGTAAAATTCTAACTTGTCACTTTTCAAATAATAACCAGAAATATAAAACTACTCCTGAGTTGGGTGAATACCACAATTTTGCGGTGATAACTATGACATATGACAGCTGATTCATGACGTCACGAATCTTATAATCATACTCGCTTGAACGGATCGGTAAATACCAATCCAAAATGGTAAATAGAAATACCATTTTCATTTGGTTATTCGCTTGAATTTGATTAATCATATGTAACAGTGATTGGTGGTCCCTTTGATATTGGTGTCAGTGACTGTTTGACAACTATCCTACCAACTAGAGGGGTGCTTGTAGGTAATTCCCAGGAGGGCCAGTATATGCATACAAATAATGTGCTCCAAAAATTCTTTGAAGATCAATAAATTGCTCAGGTAGAAGACATCATGGGAATCTTTGAGCCTCAAATCTTTTTGTAGAATTGGAGGAGGCAATTCTTTTTCCAAATTTCAAACATCCTACCAGAATTACATTACATGTTATATTCAATGATACAAATATATATAAACACGTTTTTTGACTCGGCCAGACCATGGAGTCCTATGAACATGAAAACCACAATATAATTTTCAGTAGTTTCATTAACTATACCTTGTTACTCAAAAGTTATTTAAGACAAACCGTTTTTCAAGTGGGGCCTGTCTCACATCCAAAGAATCACACCTTGAATTTTTTCTATATTCATAGTAAATATGAGGGAATTTGATATATTCTGATATAAGGATTACTCCATTGATAGATTTGTTTTTTTTAATTGCCTCAGTGTAACTTGTAGTAAGATTTAAGTTTAATCCTAAGTAATACCAACTGTATGCCCTTATTTATTTTTTTGACGCTAAATCGCACAGGTGAATGCGTTTGAAATAGATACAAAGCACCGACTTCCCTTAAATTACTAAACATTTTGAGGGGGAACCGGTTTATTTCAAAGAAAACTTCAGTCCAATACAAATACATAATTATATAAATATATTTTTTGACACTTCATTTACTATTGAATCTTTTGATGATTCTATTACTTTTACTTACTTCAAGTATACAGGAAGTCAAATGGATGCCTACCTCCTTGTTTATTTTGGCATATTGGAATGTAGTTTAGTCTGAATTTTATCTGTACTTTTCAACATTACATTTTATATTAGTTTTATTTTAATTTGTCTAGTTTATGAATGTTTTATACTTTTATATATTATATAATAAATATACTTATTTGTTGATATTTTGTGAGCATTATTCATTATTGAACATTCATATTTCAGTAAAGCTCAGTTCATCCTTCAGGAGCTTCCACACGCTTGGCTAACTTTGGAAAGAGATCAAAAATTGTGGATAGGCCATTTGGCTTGGCTTGCGAAGACTTGGCAGTGCTTGCGATAGATTTGATTGGGTGCCGATTTTCGAGCAAAAGTCATAGGGGCAATTTTTTTCAAATTGATGTTTTTCACGTGTTCAAGTTTTTATTCATTTTGTTTTGAATTGTAAAACTTCAGGCGTCTGAGTTTTTTTAAGACTTTTTCGTTAACATTTATGGCTAAAATCGGGCGTATAAGTATTTTTTATGCCTTTTCAGCGTAAAATGCCCAATCAGCTTCTTTTTATTATTCTATAGTTACAGATTTTTACGTATACAGATAAAAACTTGGCGACCTACCTTATTGATTATGATTATATAGTTTTAAAGAAGCATTTTCGTTCAAAGTTTATATTAACCATAATGTGAATTGTTTACATTTAATAAACATTTTTAAGTTTACTTTAAAACTGCATGTGTTGAAGATGCATTTAAACTGGTTTTAAAAGTTCCCTCACGGCAGTTTTAAAAACGGTTGATCAATATAATACATGGTTATGGCTTTGGTGTTAAGGCAAGTTTATTAAAACCTTTAGATTTATTTAAAAACCAATTCGTTTTAATTGCAGTTTTATTCCACAATTTTAACACATCATTAAAACAATAAACTAGTTCGATGCGACTTGGGAACTTTATGCTCTGTAAATTTTTACACGATTTAATTAACTATCCTGTAAACACCAGAGCGGTACAGAATACGATCCGTTCGCGGGCCCCAAAATAACCCCGCGCGCGTCCAAGCGACGTCCCGCGTCGCGACGGCGACGCATGCTTCAAAGACCTGGCGCGAATCTCCCCACCAATCCTCCGATACGAAAATAACCGCCGCGCCGCTCTCGAGTGGAAAACCTTTGCGATGATTAACATCGCGCCAACAACCAGCTTACAACATCAAGCCTCAGTGCTCTGGCCGTGGATTGAACAACGCGCGGGTGCTTCACTACCACGTTGGTCCATCAGCCAGTTCGAGAGACCATCTGCGTGGTAGATGGAAAGGGGCCCTAAGGAAGACGCCGCCGCCGCACCCGCAGTCGTCGTCAAAAAGGAACCAATCAATGACGATATCAAGGTGAGCAGTTTGTGTTTGAGTCTGTTTAACTTCACAGTCAATTTATTGAAGTATCTATTGCGTTGATATTCTCCTGTTTAACACAAAACCTAACGAAGAAACACTATAATTGAAGTTTCATTATTCGGTTTCCAATTTATTTCACAATCAGTGTTATTGATCGAATATCTTCAAAGCTTGTAATGTATTCCTTAAGCAGAAACCCTAACGAACAAAATCACTCCTGAAGAAGCAAATATATAGTTGAAGCGTATATATAAATATGCCAATTTTCGCAACTAACAAAAAGCTTAATAAAAGTGCTGAAAGACTGTAAAAACTGTGTTGATTCATAATTTTAGCTCTTGGAAGCTAGTGATGTGAGTGAGGCGAGCTGGGTTTTCTTTTCATTTCGCAGTCAATGTTATTAAAGACACGAATAATTTATTATTACTATTATTTTCATTATTATTATTATTAAGTACGTGCAAGGAGTAATGAAGCAGGTACTCCAATGATCAAAATATTTTACGAAGCAAATATGAAAAATGAAAGTGCAAAGTTCGACAATAAAAAAATGGAAGCGTAACTTTGAAACCTCAATAAAGTTGCTGAAAAAGGGGACTGTATGCATCACAGCTTGGCTTTTGGAAACTACTTATTAATAATCACGAGGACGAGATGGGACTGCTGGTTGGTTTTTCTCTAGCTTCTCAGTTTTAAAATTATTTATCTAATAAATGTTCATTTAGTTTCTCTATCCAGTATCCTACATCATGATGGAGACTCGTGAAGCAGAAAATTAAATGAACCGGATGTAGCTCAGTAAAAGCGTAGAAAAACAGTAAACTGTGTGGATTTGTACTTTTGGCTTTTGAATGCTAGTTAGCGATTTGGACGACATATGATTGCTTTTCGGCTTTCTTTTCTTTTTACATTCAATAGTATTTAAGAACTATTCAACAATGTGCTAACAGTATAATTCAGTATCTTTATCACGTACGAGATATGCAGAAAACCCAACGTACAAAGCATTTTTTGATGAAATAGATATTGTAACTGAGCAATCACTTCGAATACTTAATAAAATTTTTGAAAACAGTGAACTGTGTAGATTCACACCTCTATTCTTTGAAAACTACCTGATGATTTGGGTGAGGTGTATGGTGCCTGCTTTTTTCTTTGCACAGTGAATATTATTGAAGAACTGTTTAGTATATTCGGTTGGCCTACTTGAAATCTTTTTGTGTGAGCTATACTTAAGCTGAAAGTCTAATAGAACAATATCTGGAGTCGAAGTCAAAATTATAACTGAAGTGCGGAAATGAACGCAGGAAGCTTTCCATCAAACAAAAAATTGAGACGTACCTATATTCTAAACCTTAGTAAAAAGTCTCCAAAAATAGTAAACCGTGCAGATTTACACTTTCGACTTTAGGAAACTCCTTGGTCGCTTGAGCGAGGTGAGTTTTTGCGGTTTGTTTCCCATTTCACAGACTGTATCGAAAGGGTATTGAGTTGGTATTGAAACGAAAAATATAATGAACAAATTGGGACAAAGCTTCTAAGACCTTAGTAAGGGTTGCGAAAACAGTAAACTATGAAAAACATCTTGGCTTTTAGAAGGTACGTGATTTGGAAGACGTGAGTTAGCTGTTTGGTTTTGTCTTCAGCCTTTCGCTCAGAAAGTCTAATGTAAAAAATATCTCCTCATAAAATAAATATTTATTATAATTGTGTGTAGAAATAGATGCACACAGTTGTACAACCAACGATAAACTGAAAGCTTACTAAACATACAAAAAATGTTTGGATGATTTAACGTCACTTTTGAAAGTCCAAATAAGTAATCAAAACTTGTAGTTCTTCGAATTATGAAAATGCTTGGTGCTGTTTTTGACACAAAGTAAAGATAAATCAAACAGAAAAAGTCTTTCGCAAAAAAATTATTTCTTTAATGCTACGCACTCTAACTGCAAACAAATATCCACTAAATTTCAAGTTACGTAAAAAATTATGTCAATCCTTAGTTATATCTGTTCTAAATTACTGTAATGTGGTATACTATTCACGCTGAGACAACTATGCCAAAAATCTAATACAAGTCATTCAAAACAGTTATGTGCGTTTTATTTTTGAACTATTCAAATTTGATCGTGTTGACGTGCCTTACTTACGAACAAAATTTCCTAATTATTTAACAACCCTATTTCAAGACAGTTTCTCTTATAATATTGCACGATATATAATTCTTTACCGAACTTGTATAAATAATACTCATTTCCAGCTTTTCACATCCCTGCTAACAACGTTAAATTGAAGATGCGAAAACTAGTAACGCATAACGTGTCAACGTATGGAAACCACACCGTGTCAGCTTTAATGTTACTTGCATAATTTATTATTATTAAATTATGTTGATGGTAGTTTAGTTAGGAAACTAAGTCGAGAACGAAACAATGTGTTGAAATTACAAAGTCGCAAAGAAAAGCATTTTTATTTTGATGCCTATCGAAACAAAATATAAAAAAGTTCATCATTTTATTGAATCAATCAGTAAAATATAGCTCATTGCTGTCGATTGTAATCAACAAATGTTCTAATGGACAGTGGAAGGGTAACTCATGCAATATTTATCATATTTTACCATCTAGCCAACTCTGCAGTTTCAATCATGCCTAATGGATCCTGATTTCATCCTTATCACAATAGTATCCAACCATTGTCAGCTAAACGCTAAAAGAACTAGACTCGAGTTCAATTTACATTAGAAACACGCGTTACAATATCTATCAAGTGAATCTGACAGTAATTCATCTAGTCAAAGAAGTCACATCAGTTTTCACAAAGTATTTGCCCGCTTTCATTGGAGGAGTTAGAGAAAGTTTGCTGGGGACACTCACAAAATTGTATGATATTCAACCAGAAGGTAAGGTGTACCTCATCTTCCTACGATAATGTATTCCTCTTTTCAGAGTTCTTACAAATATACACAAACAAACATTTTATTTCAAAGCATTAATTTGAATATTACAGGTACTTTTGGAATGAGTTTTGTATTAGAAGCTATCAGTTTTAGAATCATCTTGAAAACCACCTGCAAAAAACTGTGATAGAACGTACGCAAGTTTTCAACACAACAATTTAAAAATAGCTTAGGCCAACACGTAAGCGCCTTAAATTCATAACAGTCAAATTGATCAAACTTCGTTTGCTTTTTCTCAGGCTAATATACTCCCGCCCAATTAGTGTAGTACTATAAATATATACCTAATGAAGTTTATTTGATGAAATATGGTTGAAAAACTTTCGAAACAAAGCTCACCACGCGTATGAATACTAAAGTATCCACAAAGTTATCAGGCTATGGAATTCTGTACATAAATATACACAAGCTGAGGTGAATATGCTTGCTTTCCGTCTCTGTAACTTCGACCAATCATAGACAGCGGTGTTTAGTGCTCTTTAATCTTTTCAAAAAATCGTTTTGGGTTTCTTCAAATCTGATCTGCAAATAAACAGTTCTGTTTACCTGCAGCCAGGGTCGGAATCGGTATATTAGTAGTTCGAAACCTAATATATCAGTTAGTCTTTGGATTATGTTTTATAGGGAGCATCTGTTCATTTTTAGAAGAACAGTATGCGGTGTGAGGGAACATCCGAACTTCAAGAACACGCGTATACACTTATCTCCGCTTGCCCTTGATTGGCCTGAAGAGTATATGCAACGCGAGTTGGTATCCCGTTGTAGAAGCCGCGGCGGCCGATGCCGGAGTTTTACCGGAGGAGAAAACCGATCCCCCGAAACCTAATCCCCCATCTCAGATGGCAGATGTCTTGCAACTGATACCCATCACCAGCCCGGTGCTGTATCGTAAATACTCTTGTTGTACGTCGACACGGCGATGATATAAAATCTCTCCTTCATCTCAGTTGGCCTTTGCCTACGGATTCCGTTGCCTTCTCCTGTTCTCTACAGCTGTTTTTGGTTCTGTCTCTATAGCCTTCCTGGAATTCATATACTGCTAGTCAAATGTTTTGTGTGTATCCATCATGCTTTGAGGTCTACTGAGGTGAACAGCTCATCAGCAAGTGACATTTTTGTGTTAGTCTGCAACGTTGGCAATAATGAATTGTGTACAAATCTAGTAAAACTTGTTTGAAGCGATTTGTTTTTTGTATGCAAATGAACTAAACAAAACAGTACAAAATGAATCTGTAGCGTACAAAAAATCAAAACAAAATACGGCTTTGACTACTTGGCGTTGACGGATACGTCAGAATTGTGTCCTGTGCCGATATGGGGAATTTTGAGATATTACTAGATAATCAGATGTCATTTTACCGTAATGGATACTCGTGAAATAGGGTATATGTGTTGTCTGGCTGCTTGTCCTACGATATTTATTAGACTGCTTGTACGAGGGTTGATCCCTATGCTCCGCCCCTGACCTATTTGCACATACTTATCTGATGCATGCTGTTGACAGTAGAATAAATAATAAAGGACTTCTCACCGATCTTGGTAGGTCACATCAAAACTACCAGTATCACAGGTGTATATCCGCCTCCCTGTGCATACTCATGTAACCTGCCTTTGTGTGTGGCTATTTGTACGTTCACAGTTATACGTTTTTTAATTTTCTTTCACCCCCTAGATAATTTTCTAATAACGTATGAGTGTTCTACAACTATGCTCGTCACTTTCAGAGTGATAACTTACTTGGCATAAGCGTGCTATTTGATCTTACCTTCTCTTGATCCTATAATATATAGCGTCTGGGAATACAATTAGTGAAAAACGTCGACAATTTGTGTTAAATCTATGGTCCATGTGATCCAGAGAGGATCGTTTTGAGGTATTTGGAGTTTCTCTTACTTAGGACAATTAAGACTGATCCGTGGTACCATTAGTTAATCTGTTTACTTATTTCGTATCACATCAATAGGTAAGCACCACAATCGATGAAGCTCAGTTAACAAAATGTTAAAATTTTGTGTCAAACTATTTTGACGATATATATGGTTTTAGGTTTATGTGTGGCAAAGAAACGGATTCTGTTGAGTAAATAGCTGTCATATACAGGGTGTTAGGGAAATAATTTTCGTAACTTTAAAAGGTGATTCCTTGCATTATTCTAAGCAAAAAAGTTCATTAGAAACTATGTCCGAAAATCAACCGTTTCGGAGCAAAACATGTTGAACTTATTTCTTTTTAGTCATGAAATAAATTAGTTTTGCACCTTAATAATTTAAATTCATATGCCTAATAGCGTAAAATGTATCAATATATTTATTTATTAATTAACTCTCTAACAAAATAATTTTATTGCTTATTAAATACAATTTTCCGAAGAAAAACTGACAACCAAAATCCATCACACATCTGGCAACGACGTACTCCGCCTGCACTGCATGTGTCATCGCGCATGTTGGTTTTTTTTTCGTGCATCTCATCGTTTCAAATAAGTTTCTGATAATCGTGGGAATTGGTGGTGTGTATCGCCACGTAGCGGTAAGTTCTATTAAATGAAAAACGTTAGCCACAAAAAGTTGCGTAAAAATATTCAATAACTCAAGGCATAAAAAAATATATATCATACAAACGTAAACAATTCGATGAATCAGTTGCGATCGTCGTGCGCTCGTATCGCGGTTGCCAAATGTTTGAGAAAATTTAATTATTTACGACTCACTTCCCTCGAAAACGATTGATTTTCGGACATCAGTTATAATGAACTTTTTTGCTTAGAATAATGCAAGGAATCACCTCTTAAAGTTACGAATATTATTTCCCTAACACCCTGTATAATTTATGCAAAGATATGCATGTCTGTGATATTAATCAAAACATTGTGGTTAATATTCGAGAGTATGCAGTTTCTTATAATACAGTCAAACGCTGATGCTGAGATTTTAAGTGTGGAAGAACATCTAAAAACCATCATGGTCGGAGGGTCTCCTGTAACGGTAACGACTGACTAAACCAAAAAAGCGCATGACATGGTACTACTACTACTACTCGTCGTTGCATCTCAAGGCGGTCCGTAGGACCATAGCCTTTAGGTCATAGTCACTGTAATGTTAGTGTCTGTTGTCAGTCTATCAGGTCTGGTGGTCCAGAAACCAGACAAGTTGTAGGGGCGCATGATATGGTGTTACAAGGTGTACGTGCATTAAAATTACAGGATACCCATTATGCTAAATCTTAAAACTGCGAGCGAGATTAATGTGGGGGATGTTCACTAGTGGCGTACTGCCTTATCAGGATAATTTTCCGGCTCGGCTATTACGTATCTTGAAAAGTGACATGTCCATCTTTTGTGACATTTGTAGGTTTTTCTATAAGAAGTTAACTTAGCACTAGCTAATGGACACTTGTGAACTCGTTTTGTAGTTGTACGTGTTGCCCAAACGTCATAATGCTGGTTTCTGGGCAAGCAGTACTGACAGATTCGAGTAATGTACATTAGACAGTGACTAATGGGCAATGGTCCTACGGACTGCCCAGACAAACAAGTGACGCATAGTCATGATGCTTCAGTTATCAATGTTTGGCTCTGATGTGATGTAAAATCTGCTCCAGAGATGGCATTATTGGAGGTCTAAGTTGTAAGTTATATACTATTGATAGAAGAAAACGGCAGTGCATAAGTGCATAGTGAGGATTTGTGTACTAATAATATGTGTTGATGATAATTCCATTGGTTTCTTGTCTCAAATACACTTACTTGAGATTCAAAGCTAGAAGTTAGTTCCGCATCCACTTTTTCTTTTTCACTCTGGAAATTACATGTGCAAATTTGCTGATTTTAAAAAATGATATAGATCAGAAAAGAAAATCCCTGGTTGGTGAAGGAAAAGGTGAGAAAATTTGCTACAACAGGAATAAATATGAAAGTGAAAAGGTTATTTAATTTTTATTAATATTATTTCCAGTCATTTAAAATTTATAGAGATTTATTTTGCGATGTCAATAGAAAATACAAATCAGCGCCTAGATTGAGGCATTGCGAAATTGTTTGATGTGTGATGCGTCATTCCTAATTTTTCTGTGATGTGGCTTAGTTGCACACAACGCAGGCGCGATGGAGATTTCCCGTGATGCTCCTCCTTTTTGGAAACACAAAAAACGGGGAAAATCGTAATTTATAACTTTGAACATAACCTGTCTTCAAAAAGGTCACATATGAATAACCCGTCGGGCACAGCTAATAGATATACTCCATTGGCAGCATATTCAGTACTAATTTTCTCACATAGCAAATATCACTAATTCTATACACATGCAGATGTGTCTTGATAATCAATATCTATTTCACAGTGCTAATTCTATAGTGTATTCACTAATACTGTAAAAACTTACTTCTATCTTTCTAGTAGAGTACTATGTACGGGTTACTATATAAATACAATAAATGCTTTACAGAATCGGTTTTGTCATGATGATCCTTCAGAAGTTCATACTCGTATTAACAAGTTATGTTTGCAAATGACTGATTTCAAGCTACTTCGGTTATTTTTGTCTCTGCGAGTAAATTAAAAATATTGGAACATTTTATACTCGTGTGACGATTTTTTTCATTGACCTATAAAACATTGGAAATATAGGACGAATTATATTTATAATTATAGAATTTATTTATATCAAAAATTTCAAGATCGATTTTCTACTAAATCAACAAAATCTTAGTTGTAGATTTCTACTATACCACAATATTTTCATTACTTACTATTACTATTTAAACTATTTATATTTCAAAAAGTATGTGTTTTGTATTTTTTCTGAGCGTTTGCTTAGACGTAATATCAATATTTTGCCTTCAAAATCTAATCTAAATGGCAACACCCCTCTATGGATCCCACGTAAAATGTCGTGGCAAAGCTGTGACGCAATAAGTTTCAGCTTGACGAAATCAGTCTTTCCTTACTTTGCCCTGAGAATGCTTCTACCAGATATGTTGAACACGGCCTTTATTTTCTGACGTTGGTAGTTTAACTTTGAAATGTATTGTCACGTTACGTGAGTATCCGGAATCAAAGCCTATTGTCTAGTTCAGGGTTTCCCAACCTTTTTCTTGTTGAGGCTCCCCGGACTATAAATTATATTCTCATTCCCCCCTTTACTTTTTCAATAAATCAAAAAAAAAAAACGCACATTATATAGGTACAAAGACTTTTACTTTAATTCGAATAAAGAAACTTTAAAAGTTTAAATAAATTAATAAATATTTTTTATCGAAAAACTTGAATAAAAGAAGAGTAGATACTAATGAGATACTTGAGGTTGCATGTTCTGTACCAGTTGGTTGATTCTAGGTTCTGTTTTTGCCAGAGCTATCATCAGGTCGCTATCTACATGAAGTCGATTCCGCTGTTTAGTTTTAATTAAAACTAGAGCAGAAAAGCCTGTCTCACATAAGTAGGCTGAAGAAAAAGAAACTAGTATTCGTAAAGCTAGAGAGGCGAGTTCGAATTAACAGGCAATCCTTTGATCCAAAATTTCTCCAATGTTAAAAGATGGAAGTTATCTTTCATGGACGAATCAGCCTTCATGTCTAGAAATTCTACCTGAACTTCTTCTTCTAGTTGTGACACATCGACAACAAATGGATTTCTTGTCATGTGCCATATTGGTGACTGTGAATTGATGTCTCGATAGTATCGGCGAAAAGCGTCTTCCAGCGCTTGCAAATGAGTTCTTATGTCAGCTTTTAAATTTGCGTCCACCAAGTTATTTTTAATTGCTTCGAACAGCCGAGAAAAAATATAACATTTTCAGAAGACACTTTTTGATTCCAAAGTGGAAGCTTTGATATGAACCCCTGAATATAATCATATAGTCAAAATCACGAAAGATGACTATTACGTCATACCATAAATTGTACTGAAGTAATCAATGGACGTACATCGATGATAAAATCACGATGTTAGGAACATAATAACAAATTTGTATTATGATTTTGCGAAATTAGGTTATTTCACTGATTGTTTCTTTTCGTTTCATTTTATGGTTTTGAGTGATACCTTAATAATAATTTTAGTGGGGAGTTTTTGTTTTGAAAAAAACAGTTATGAGTAGAATACCTTAAGACATCAGCACCAAAGACCAAAGTATTATTCAAAAACAACCTAACCTGCTTTAACATAACCTAACTATCCATCTTTCAAATATGATCGATCATGCAACATGAAAACATCGTCTATCTTTGTCGGATACATGCAAATTAGTAATACAGTTTGTTTAGACAATAAAATTCTGTTTGTCTCTGTCTAATATATCTGAAACTTCATTAAAAATATTCACAAATCGCTGTTGTTTGTCTTTACTGCAGACTAAAATGCTGACGTAATCGTCATCTTTCGTAATTTCTACTATAATTGCTTATTATAGTGTTGTTTCTGCCCTGAAGTTTCAAGTTTAGCTCAGTCAAGGAGGCAAATATGTTAGTTAAATAAGCCAATCTCCATTGAAATGTGTCATTTAAACATTGTCAAGAAATCGTGTTTTTCTTTGAATTCAAGAAAAATAATTATCTCTTCTTTCAATTCATAAAGGTGAGCCTGTTGCATTTGGACAGCCAGCTTACTTTTGTATGGAACAGAAGAACTTTGTGATCAGAATCGAGATCTTCGCAAAGTAAAGTAAATAACTGACTGTTCAAAGCGCGGCTCTTGATGTAGTTTACAATCCTTATAGCCGAGTTCAAAGTCTGGCGTAATTTCTGTGGCAATGTTTTGGAAGCCAAAGCTTGCAGATGTATAACACAATGTGTACTAACCATTGCGGGATTTTTTCCTTGAGCTTTTTAGCTAAGCCCGATCGTACACCTATCATTGCAGGTGCGCCATCTGTGCAAAGTCCAATGAGTTTCTTCCAATCCATATCATTTTATTTCAACAAAATTTGATCTTGAATTAAATATATCTTCAGATGTAGTACCTGCTGTCAAAGATGCGGAGTACAAAATCTCTTCTTGAATGACATCTCCGCCGATGTAACGAACATAAAAAACTATTAACTGTGCACAATTAACGATGTCGGTGGATTCGTCGCAATTAATAGCAAAAAATGGCTATAATTTTACTTTGTTAATTATTTGTGACTTTATTTCTGCTGCAATGTCATCGATTCTACGCTTGACTGTGTTATTAGAAAGAGAAATAGACTTTATTTTTTGCTCTGCATCTTCTCCTAAAATTATATGCGTGGCTTTTAGGACACATGGTTTTATTAATTCTTCACCGCTAGTATGAGGTTTCTTTTGCTTTGCTATCATAGCTACTTCAAATGAAGCTTTGAGATGCTGCGATACACCTGTGTGATAACTTCCCGATTTATCCAGTCTCATCCGTTTGAGTGATTCTGCTTTAGAAGAAAAAACTCTTTGGTCTTCAAAAGCAGAGTACGATGTTGTCGCATTCCTATGCCTTTCGAAGCAATTGGGCCTCATGCTATCATTACAAAATGCAAACGCTTTCCGCCCCTCTTGACATCTCTCTATGCCCCCCTTGGGAGGCGCGCCCCCCTGGTTGGGAACTCCTGGTGTAGTTGATTCGAATAGAAATCCAGGGGATTTGAATTACTTCTATTTCAATGTACGAATTTTGATAATTTTTCTCCAGCACACAAGTGTAATACTGCTATTCTGTCTTGTACCCCAGTGACTTGGCAAAATGTATAAAAGGTGACCTACATAGAATTGCAGCTATCACTTAAATAGTTGTTACTAGACAAATATGAAAATTTTTGTTCATATTATGAGTGATAAGAGCGATTTGGCTAAAGTCTCTTCAAAATGGTGGTATTTCCGTTTGTAGCGGAAGTTGATACCAACTTACTTATTTTAAATATAACATCCTGTATACTATTCAATTTTTGGATTCTATGCGAAATTTTACATACATTTCACGTATATTCACGTATATCATCCTATACCTAAAGATAACCGTTTTTGAGATATCTCAAATATTGATTAAAAGATGACAAATGCAGGTTAATGCATTATAACAATTTTTCTTGTATTTTTGCTTTGCCACATGATTTACAACGGGTTTTTCATAGTAGGGGCACTGCTTTGGTAGATCCTATTTAGGATTTGCTAAAATGTAAAAAGAAAATGCAAATTACATTTTAAAAGAACCCAACAAATCAATAGTTTCAAATGGAAACCACCTTTTTTATTATTATTTAGTCGTATTAGGCATTGGAAACAAGGTTAATTTTATATAAGGTCTACTTCGCAAAAATAATTAATGAAAAACATAGTATGTAGTTGAGACTCTCCTGTCAGTTCTTAGCTAGTTATTATGTTATCAAAATTTCGTTAAGTTATACGAAGGTGTTTAAAGTAGCACAGGACATTGGCTGAACATTGTTTTTATATTGGATCATTATTCATATATGGGCACTAGCATTCCAATCAAACACCAATATCTGCCCTATATTGGCTAAACCTTGGAAATACAACATGTGGTTTTCTCTTCTAGCCGATATTGGCCCAACATGTTATTTTGCGATATTTATTGTAGAATATTGGCACAACATTGTAATAGCGTTCGTAAACACAACATTACAAGTAGATGTTGGCTAAATATTGTATTGATAGCGGAAGTGCAATATTGTTAAAACATATATTGGCTATTTTTTCCTAGATAACACTAATATTGTGGAAAAATATCAATGCGATGCTATTTGTTGATAGTTCAGCAAATATTCATAATCCTATATTCATCCTATATTTGCTAAAATTTGGAAAATACATTTCATTTTCACCTTTGGCCTATATTGGCCCAATATGTTATTTTGCATAATGAATTGCAGAATACTGGCACATTATTGCAATTGCGTTCGTAAATAAAATATTACAGATAAATATTGGCACAATGTATACTAAGTGACATATAAATCCGAACACCCAGTTTAAATGGTTTTATTTCAATAAAAGTTGGTGAATGTATTTATCTTACTGTAAATAACAAGTGAAAAAATTTTCAGCCTTATCAGTTGGACATTCCGGTTTTTATACTGCTTTTTTTTAATTCACTAACGCTCTAAAAATGAATATTTCAGCCGCAGTAAAGAATCAACGTTGGCGGATTTTGGTTCTTGACATCCTTTACGATCGGTTACGATGCCTAGAGTACGGAGACCTGTACGATTTCGTCAACTTAGTGAGTTTGATAGGGGCCGTATAGTGGGGCTTCGGGAAGCTGGACTTTCTTTTCGGGCAATTGCAGTTAGAGTGCAAAGAAGTGTAGACACTGTGGTTAGGTGTTGTCAGGCATGGCTTCGAGAGGGCCGTACGCAAAGAGCAAGGGGCACTGGACGCCGCCGTAGAACAACAGACCGTGAAGATCGCCGCCTAAGATTATTGGCCTTAAGGACCGTTTCTCCGCTACCAGGTCCATTGCAAATGAATGGTTTGCAGAACACGGAAGACCTATTGGCATGCGAAGTGTTTACCGACGAATGACAAGTTTTGGCTTGTTTTCATACCGGCCACACTGGGTCCTCTCTTTAACTCGAGAACACCGACGTAATCGCCTTGAGTGGTGCAGACAACGGTCACTCTGGGATCAGGAATGGAACAGTATTGTCTTCAGTGACGAGTCTCGATTTTGTTTAGGCATGCACGATGGTCGTGCCAGGGCTAGAAGGCGACGTGGTGAAAGGAGGAATCCACAGCTTTTTGTTGAAAGACATGTTCATCACACTGTTGGAGTTATGGTTTGGGGTGTTATAGCTTATGGTTCCAGGTCACCTTTAATCTTCATCAGAGGTAACATGAACGCGCAGCGTTATATTCACGAAGTTCTAGAACCCCATCTTTTACCCTATCTTGACACCCTGGTAGATCCAACTTTCCAACAAGATAATGCCCGACCACATGTTGCAAGAGTCACAATAGACTTCTTTCAACATAATGATGTCACATTATACCAGGGCCACCAAGATCTCCCGACTTATCCCCAATTGAGCACGTGTGGGATATGATGGGTAGGAGATTGCTCAATTTGCAACATCCTCCTCAGACTATAGAAGCACTTCGAGAGGAGTTGGTGGTTGCCTGGAATGAGATACCACAGGAGGACATTGACCACCTGATCAGAAGCATGCCTAGGCGCGTTGGAGAATGCGTAGCACATCAGGGTGCATCCACACATTATTAAAGGTCAAAGGGATTTAAAGCAGTGCAATCATTTTGAAATGTTTATCATTTACTTATTATGCTTCATTAAGTACTTATACAAAATTTTATTAAAATAAAACCATTTAAACTGGGTGTTCGGATTTATATGTCACTTAGTATACTTAAAATGTATATTCGCCTTATATGCTTCCTGCCTATATAGCACCAATTTTGTCGATCAATATTGCTTCAATATTGCTTATATATTGAATATTCGTTGAACCAATATTTTTATAACTGGTTGAGAACAATATGCAAAATATGCCATACAATCAATATTGAAAGTTAATGTTGAGCTAATATAAAAAGATGTGTTGCTTTAATAATGTATATAAACACTCAAACAATATTGTCATAATTGATTGGGACAATATACAAATTTTCATGCAACCAATATTGAGTTGTAATATCGAGCCAATAAAGAAATGCCATATTGGTTTGATATTGCAAATAAATATTGGACCAATGTATCCAAACGTACATTTTTCTTCTTGCGCCAATATACAGTGTGATCCACAATTCGTGACAAAAATGAAACATTCTTCATTAAAAAGATGCGGGGTGTTTAAGTTTAAAAATAAAAAATATTTTTTTAATACCTTCAAAGCCATCAACTGGAATGAACTAAAATTTGGTATGTGGATTTACCTAAGAATTGTCCACATTCAAAAGTCCTTACCCAAAATTAACGTGCACCACTAACGGCGATACGGGGGATTGGTCGCATTATTCTTCCAAATAAAAATAGTACGCCACTGTTTTTGCGAAACGCGCAATTTTTCGAATTTTACCTTCAATTTGCTACAAGTAATTATTATTTGTGTTTTTTCCTAGAGTGTATTGTTTTCGTAAAATAAAAAAAAAACAAATTACATAATCAAAGCTTTATTTCAATAAATGTTCTGACGGATACACGTGCGGCGTCTTTTTAATAGAGAAAAACGTATTTTCGCAAAATTTGCTGTGGCTTGAATTTGATGAAACGCATTAACTATTTTCTCTTGTAACTGATCAACAGTGTTAATTGGTTCAGCATACACTAGTTGTTTAAAAGCGCCTCACAAAAAGAAATTCAGGGGGTTCAAATCAGGAGACCTCCCAGGCCAATGTACGGGTCCGTTTCTGCCAATCCATCGTTGTCTAAAATGATTATTTAACGATGCGGTTATGTCACGACGAACATGCGGTGAGGCATTATCGTGCTGATACCACTTTCGTACTCTCATTGCTAACGGAACATCATCTAATACATTTTCTATGTAATTCTCTAGAAAAGCTAAGTATGAGTTTGCATTTAAACGTTGTGGCAATATGTGCATAAACAGTTGGCCATTGAAAATGCCGCACCAGACATTTCTAGGAAATCTTTGTTGAAACGAGTGGATTCTTACAGAAGGGGATTTTCTAACGACCAAATATGTTCAGTATGAGGTTCCACTCCTCGTAAACAGCGATTCGTCTGACCACAAAAACCAAATCAATGAAATCTACATTTTGATTATGCAGTTGCAGTAACCACTCACAAAATTTCGCCGTTGCACTTCGTCACCAGGTTGCAGAAATTGCACATTTCAACGATGGTAAGGTTGCAAAACTTCCCGATCTGAATTTCTCCACGCAACACTTTGGGAACATGGTAACTGGGCTGCAATCCACCTAGTACTTGTACAAGGATCATCCAACGCCAAATTAATAACTTCCAGTTCCTATTGAACAGTATACCGTACACCAAGGCCTCTAACTCCGGAAGGTTTGGGAATTCCATTTTGCCGAAGTCTTAGAAATGAAGGCGTAAAAACCTTTGGGGTAGGTTGGCGTCTGTTAGGAAATCTACGTTGATACTCCCGAGAACCTGCTTAGGCATTTCCATTACAGAACCCGTACACAAAAATAATATCGGCATTGCTAAGTTCCATTTCACAACACTCAAAAATGGAAAAAATAAATTTTTGACGTGACTTTTACAAACAACAACCGTATAACACATAACTTTGACAAACTATCTCCCAAAAAACGTGAATTCGGTCTAAAAGCCTCCTATTTTATTTTGAAACTAATTGTATCTCGGCTCTTCATGAATGATGAATTTGTTTTATTTTTACTTTTACGAAAACAGTGCACTCTAAGAAAAAAAACTCAAGAGTAATTATTTGTAGCAAATTGAAGGTATAATTCGTAAAATGGCACGTTTCGAAAAAAAAAACAAACAGTGGCATACTATTTTATTTGGAAAAATAATGCCAC